CTGCCCTTCGCCCTCTTTTTCTCTTTCTCTTTCTCTTTCTCTTTCTCTTTCTCTTTGTCTCTCTCTCTCTCCCTCCCCCTCCCCCAAAAATAAAACATTTAAAAAAATAAAAAAAGGAAAAGAACATCTGGGGCCCCTAGGTAGATCAGTTGGTTGAGTGTCCGACTCTTGATTTTGGTTCAGGTCATGATCCCAGGGTTGTGGGATTTGGAGCCCCACACTGGACTCTGCACTGAGCTTGGAGCCTGCTTAAAATTCTCTCCCTCTGACTCCCTGTCGTGCTCTAATAAAAAAAAAAAAAAAAATTTCTATACGTCTCTTGAAGGGAAATGCAAGAGAACACTTTGTTCACTCATTCATTACTATCTTCTTGCTAAAACCAGGCAAAGGTAGTACAAAAATGGAAAACTACAGACTGAAGTCTCTCATGAATATGGTTATAAAAGATGCAAAAAATGTTAATAAAACATTAATCAATTATAAAAGATGTATACATCACGAGCAAGCGGCAGTTATTCCAGGGATACAAGGCTTGTTCAGTATTCAAAAATCAGTCAGTGCAACCTACCATATTATCAGGCTGAAGAAGTAGTTGATACAGTAAAGCATTTCACAAGTTTTAATACCTGTTCATGTTCCTAGATGAATGGAATGCAGGATAACTTCCTCAATGTGATAAAAAAAAGTATATTAAAAAATCTAACATCATATTCAAAGGTAAGACTGTTTTCTGCCTGTGATTGTGAACAAGGCAAGAGTGTCAGCTGTCACCACTGCTCATCACAGTGCTGGGAGTTATAGCTAGTTCAATACAGCAAGAAAATGGAAGGCATAAAAGGTATTTGTAGATGACATACTTGTCTGCATAGAAAATCCAAAAGAGTCTATGAGAAAAAAATCCTGGAACTGGAAATAGGCTCAGCAGGGTTTCAGGACACATGATCAAAATCAATTTATTTCTGTTTATTTAGCAGTGAACACATAGAAGTAAAATTTTAAATAGAGTGCCCTGTTCAGTCACTCAAAAAATAGAATATTTGGGTGTACAGGATTTGTATGCTCAAAACTATAAAACACTCATGAAAAAAAGCAAAAATCTAGACAAACAATTTGTTCTTGCAGAAGACTCAGCAGATGTCTGTTCGCTTCAAGTCAGTGTGCAAGTTCAACAAGATTGCTAAACAAAATTATTCTAAAATTTATATGGAAAGGCAAAGGAACTAGAATGGCTAAGAGCAATTTTTAATAGGAGCAATTACTATAAGACATTATGTAGTTAAGGCTGTGTGGCATTGGTGAAGGGCTGGATACCTAAATCAATGCAACAAAATAGGGAACTCATAAATATAGCCCCACATAAGTATGGCCAACTGATTTTTGACATCTGCAAAAGGAATTAAATAGAGAAAAAAGTCTTTTCAAGAAGAGTGTTAGAGCAATTAGATATCCATAAGCAAAAACATGAACCTCAACCTGAATCTCACATCTTATATAAAAACCAACTCACAATAGGTTGTAGATTTAGACATAAAACTTTAGGAAGATAACATAGGAGAAGTCTCTGGTTCCTGTGGCTTGATGAAGAAAAAAGCCAGTAAACCACCTTAAAATTATAAACTTCTGTCACAAAACACAAGAATGAAAAAAACTATAGGAAAAAATACTTATAAGCCACATATCTGAGAATGGACTTCTATCTAGAATGTGTCAAGAGCTCCCAAAACTCAACAGTAAAACTCAAACAATCCAGTTAGAAAATGGACCAAAAAATTGAGCAGTTCATCCAAGAGGGAGTATAGATGGCAAGCAGCACATGCAAAAGATGTTCAACATCACTTGCCATTAGGGAAATGTAAACTAAGACCATGAGGAGATACACTACGTTCTTATTTCTTTTTTTTTTAAGGGGGGGGGGGGGGCAGAGAGAAATCCCAAGCAGGCTCTGAGCTGTCAGTGTGGAGCCCAATGGGGGGGCTCAATCTCATGAACCACAAGATCATGACCTGAGCCGAAATCAAGAGTCGGAAGCTTAACTGACTAAGCCACCCAGGAGCCCCACACTCTACTCTTAATATAACAGCTCCAATAAAAAATAGTAGCAATGTCAAGTGCTGACAAGGATGAGGAGAAACTGGATCTTCTGGATCTCATATGTTGCAGGTGGGAATGTAAAGTGGTACAGCTATTCTGGAACACAGTTGGGCTGTTCCTTGAAATCTAAACGTTCACTTACCATATGGCCCACATTGCACACTGCTGGGCATTTATCCCAGAGAAATGACAAGTTCACATGAAAACCTGTACGTAATTGTCCATAGCTTCATTTGTAATAGCTCCAAATAGGAACAACCAAAATGTCATTCAGTAGATAGGTGATTAAAAATGTGTAGTTTGTCCATATCATGGAATAGTACTCAGCAATAAAAAGGAATGAACTATTGATACACTCACACCTTGGATGGGTTTCAAGAGCATCTTGTTGAGTGAAAAAGGTCAATCTCAAGAGGCACAAACTGTCTAATCCTATTTATATAACATTCTTGAAGTTACAACATTGTGAGAGACAAAAACAGCAGTTGTCAGCAGCTTAGGGATGGTGTGGGTGGAAGTAGGGGTAAATATGGCGAAAGGGTAGCATGAAGGTAATCTTTGTGGTGATGGAATAATTCTGTATCTTGATTGAAGTGGTATTTTCTTGAGTCTATACATGTGATAAAATGGTATAGAACTAGATACACACTGTATCAGTGTGAGTGCCCTGGTTTTGATACTGTGCTGTAATTAGGTAAAGTATAAGTGATTGGACAGAACTGGGAGAGCACACAGAACTCTGTCCTATCTTTGCAGCTTCCTGGAAACCTATAATTATTTCAAATTAAAATACTAAAAAAAAACAACCTTGAGCCACAACCTAAATGCAGCATAAGTTCAAACAAGTGGTAGCAAAATGTCCATTTGGAGGGGTTCAGGGATGCGGACTTCAATATTTAGCACTCTGCTTGCATATCTAGGAAGAAAGGATGTTCAGTTGCTGTGCTTTGTGTTTTAACACAATTACAGTGTTACAAAATTAGCAAACTGCTCTAATAAACAGCGCTCCTCTATCCAGCACCAGTTACCTCTAATCTTTACCACTAAGTCCACAGACAGTCCAGGTTTGTACAGAGGACATAGGTCTCATGATTGAACATTATACTGCTTCGGTCAGATTTTTCCTGTGACATTTTCCTCATATTTCTGGAGTTTCATCTATTCACATGGATGTCATAGTTCTTTTTTTTTAATGTTTACTTATTTTTCAGAGAGAGACAGCACAAGCAGGGGAGGGGCAGAGAGAGAGGGAGACGCAGAATCCTAAGCAGGCTCCAGGCTCTGAGCTGTCAGCACAGAGCCCAACATGGGGCTTGAACTCATGAACCATGAGATCATGACCTGAGCCAAAGTTGGACACTTAACTGACTGAGCCACCCAGGTGCCTCTGGGATGTTGTAGTTCTAAATATGTAAACAAGGAATGTGTGTCCATTGGTATATAAATTTTAACTGAAGCCCCGTGGTCACTAGAAAAACACGTATGTAGTAGGTACATTTTGCAAAGCCTCATTGTCTCCAGTGTGGCGCAGGCTGAGCTTTTCAATAGCACCATTTCAATAACACTACTGTAATTTTAGTGTAAAGTACGGGTCAGGTATTGCCAGGCTCATTTCTTACAAATGTCTTTCCAGAAAATTTTCACTGATAATTAAAGTGTTGTTACTATTTAGTAAGCACTAACTAGATGCAAGACAGTGTTGTCGGAGCTTTATTATCGAATCAGATTTCCTGAAAACACCTGGGATTGCACTGTCCTCTCTCTTTTACAGTTGAGGACATGAGGTAGAGGGGCTGTGTAACTAGAGAAGACCCCCAGTCTCATGGCTGGGATTTGAGCCCAGAAACAGGCTCCAGTGCCCACATTCTTAACAAGTGTATCCACCATTCCTGTGCATGTGCATGCGAGTTTACTTCGTTCTTTAGGCCTCCAGTAGCAACCTAATTGCTAGAGAACCCAGTCCCTTTCTTACTTTATTGAGGCCTTGTTTAATAGCAACTTTACTAGAAACTCTAGAAAAACTCAGTTTTCTGAGAGTGGCAATACTGTCCAACATTCTCTGGTTCTTTATTTTTATTTATGTATTTATTTTTATTTATTTTTAATTTTTTTAACGTTTTTATTTTTGAGAGAGAGAGAGAGAGAGTGCAAGCAGGGGAGGGACACAGAGAGAGGGAGATACAGAATCCGAAGCAGGCTCCAGGCTCTGAGCCTAACACAGGGCTCAAACTCACAAACCGCGAGATCAGGACCTGAGTCAAAATCAGACGCTTAACCGACTGAGCCACCCAGGTGCCCCTGGTTATTTATTTTTGAAAAACTAAACAGTTTGGCTTTTCTATTTAAAAAATAAAAAAAAAGGGGGGGGGCATAAAATTATGTAGGGTATGCATTGTTCCAGCTGTCTGGAACATGTTGGTTTTTTTGTTTTTTGTTTTTTGATGCCTTCAAAAAAATCAATTTATCTGGAAACTAAGGGGCAGTAGTAGCAAAGCAAAAGTGAAAGTTTGTTCTAAAGTAAATTGTTTGACTTTATTTTCTTATCTCTTGATTAGGTCATAGTACCAATAAATGCCTAGTAGCAAGCAAAAATGTTTGTTACTTATAGATGTAAATAAGTCCAGTCTTGTCCACTGTGCAGCTGGGCAGACCCCAAAGATCCTATTGCAAATTACATTATTGAGAATGTTACAGATACCTGCCTTTTAGACTAGCAAAGTTTTCAAGTCCAATGAAAACGAGTAAGCAACTTATATCTGTTATCTTAAATCTTTTTTTAGAACATGGCATTTTCCCCACATTATTACCATGCTTTTGATTTTTGTACAGCTTGACGTTTGTAATTACATGTGTAACATGATATGTGCTATAAAGAGCTTTTGTAAATTGATCTCATCTTCTGTTTACAGGAATATATTAAAGGAATCTGTGAACCTGAACTAGAAGAAAGAGAATGTTATCCCAAGGCCATGCACTGTATTTTTGTTGGGGCACAGAGCCTGTTTCTGAAGAGCTTGATTCAGGACACATGTGCTGATCTCTGCATTCTGGACATTGGTCTTCTTGGCATCAGAGGAAGTGCTGAAGCTGTGGTCATGGCTAGGAGTCACATTCAGCAGTTCGTAAAGCTCTTTGAGAATAATGAGAACCTACCCAACAGTCAGAAAGAATCCGAGGTAAAAAGGGAATTTAAACAATTTGTTGAAGCTCGTGCAGACAAGTATACAATGGACTTGTTAATTTTGCCCACTTCCTTGAAAAAAGAGCTTTTGACACTTACACAAGGTGAGGAGAATTTATTTGAAACAGGAAATGATGATGTCACTGAAATTGGAGATTCTAAACGAACAGAGTTTACACAGGATGCTGCCACAGGGCTGAATATTTCCAGAGATGAAATTGTTTTGCAGGAAGATGCAAGAAATAAAGCTGGCACTCCTGTTTCTGAGCTTACAAAACAAATGGACACAATCTTTTCTAGTTCACAAGATGTACTTTTTGTTCCAATAAATGGTCTAACCCCAGATGAAGAGGCACTTTCCAAAGACAGAATTTGTCATAAAAGGAGATTTTCTGATTCTGAAGAAAGGCATACGAAGAAACAGTTTTCTTTGGAAAATGTTCAAGAGGGGGAGCTTTTACATGATGGTAAGACATTAGCTGGAAATGTAATCATTGACCTATCTGATTCTTCGGCGGATCCTGAAAATTTAAGTCCAGATGTAAAGGACACCACTGAGGAAATGGAATACAATATCCTTGTGAACTTTTTTAAAACCATGGGCTATTCCCAAGAAATTGTTGAAAAGGTCATTAGGGAGTATGGGCCATCTACTGAACCATTATTGCTCTTAGAAGAAATTGAAAAAGAAAATAAGAGATTCCAAGAAGACAGAGAATCTTCACCTGGTACTATGTGTCCGGAGACCAACAGAACCAAAAATAAAGGTGTTTGTAGCAGCATAAATGAGCTTACAACAGATTCTACTCCAAAGAAAATACAAACTCACACACAGCAAAATATAGTAGAAAAATTTTCTCAGTTACCATTCAAAGAATCAAAACCATGTACCTCAAATTGCAAAATTAATGCTTTCAAAACAGTGCCGATAGAACAGAAACAAGAAATCTGGAGTTCAAACCAGAATTATATGTGTAACATGGACCTTGAAACTGATGGCCTTTCACCCTCTGTTGTCCCTTCAAGTCCCAAAGAAGTTGTCAGTTTTGTTTCCAGAGGCGCTTCAAGTCACCAGCCCAGAATTCCAGTTTTTCCTGAAAATGGTTTGCAGCAGCAAGCAGAGCCCTTGCTTCCAAGTAATGTGAAGTCTGCCTGTGAAAACCGTTCCGGGTGTTGTAGCTCTCCACAGTCTAAGTCAAATTGTCCACCCCTTTCTCCACCAATGCCACTGCCCCAGCTCCTACCTTCAGTTACTGATGCAAGGTTGGCGGGACCGTCTGATCATATTGATTCCTCAGTTACGGGCGTTCAAAGGTTTCGAGATACTCTGAAAATACCCTACAAGCTTGAATTAAAAAATGAGCCAGGGAGAACAGATTTGAAGCACATTGTTATAGACGGGAGCAATGTCGCAATTACGTAAGTCCACTCTCTGCAAGTCCTGTTACAGTTGTAAATAGGGCCCTATGCAGTGTCTCACAATTACATGCAGTTACAGGCACTACCCTGTGCATCTTTCTAGTTGATCTGTAGTCTTACTGGAAAAAAACAAAAAAACCAAAAACCATGAAACAACTGTTTGGAAGGCTGGGTTATTCCATCTTCTAGAGTTGTAAACTTTGCTTCACCCTGCTGAACCTGTATTTCTGAGGACAGGAGATAGAAAATTTGTCTTTTCACTTTGCATTGCCTAGTCAGTGATAAACAACATAGTGACTTTTAAATCATTAGGTGTCTTTTTTTCTCTCTTTTAATCATTAGGTTCTTAACACCATGAATATCATTAGTTTTTGAGTACAAGGATGAAGCTTAAATCCAAAAAGATTTTTCTGACTTTATGTACTACAGTATGCTAGGGCTCTAGCCAAGATGCAGTGATAATGGATGCAGTGTACTTCTGTTATAATTTGTTGATAGAGTGATGGCAACTTCCTTTCTAAGGAAGTTCATCAGTTTGAGCTTCATTTTGGTCTTCTGTTCTTACTAAAAGCTTATGTATTTGTTTTTAGTAAAAAGAGTTAAATGATCATTTCTATCTCACCTGTCTTGGAACGCTTTTGAAGAGTCTGATTTTTTTTTTTTTAATTTTTTTTTTTTTTTTAACGTTTATTTATTTTTTTGGGACAGAGAGAGACAGAGCATGAACGGGGGAGGGTGAAGAGTCTGATTTTATATGTATGTCCGGTACAGGATTGGGCTTCTTCTCTAAGAGGCAGTTTGATACAGTGACTAAGAAGAGAAGGGAGGTTGAGTAAGAGTCTCTGCCCCACTGTGGATCTGCTGCTTGACCTTGTGCAGGTTTCTGCCTGCTGAGTTTCACTTGCTGCAGTCTATTGCCTTTTGCCCTGTCCTGAGGTCATCTTTATCATGCCATTTCAACAACTGCTAGGTAAAGACTGCAGTTTTCAAAGTCAGTCACTCCATTGATTTTGAAGAAGTCTGCAAAGGTTTGGCACTTTAAGTAGCTATCATTCACGAAAAGGGGCACCTGGACTGGAATGAAGATGTTGAAATACTCTTCTGAATTTTGGTGAAGGTGTGTGTGGCCTCTTTCCTAGGAGTTCTATGTTTGTTATGTATTTTTTGTTTTGTTAATTTTTTATTAGAATTTTCAAACATACATAAAAAGGTAATAGAATGATTCCCTTTTTGGATATGTTTGGGATTCCCATGTGTCCTTCCCCCACCTTCAGTAGTTCTCAGCTCTTGGCCAGGCTCCCTTCGTCTGTACCCCCACCTACTACCTTTCACCCGTGTAATTTTGAAGTAAATGTCAGATATGTTATTTTATCTATAAGTACTTTAATATCTTTCTAAAATAAGGATTCTTTTTATTTTTTGAATGAATTGTTGATGTATTTTGCTGTCAAAAGAAGAAAAAAAAAATCCCAGAATTTCACATGTTAAAGTTTGAAGATGGGCTGGAAAAATACATAATATACTTGTCTTCATTTCTAAATAATACTGTTTGTTGTTATTTCACTTTGCTTTTTGCCAGTTCTTTTGGGGGAAACCCAGCAAATGGCCCACAGCTGCATAGCATTATCTAAGTAAAATTGTAAAGTGCAATTTCAGTCACCCACAGTCCAAGCCCAGTACCAGTTCCTCATTGTGATGATTTCTTGAGCCAAATTATGATATGAAATTTAGGTCATGATTGTGAATAATATTAATCCTTTTTCATTTTTTATGAGTGGAAAGATTTCCCAAATAGGTGTTCAGAGACCTAAGAAATGCAAATTAATGTAGAATGAGCAGTGATAATGACATTATTTTAAAACCTTTTTGGAGTAGTAACCAGTGTATTTCTCAGAGGGGTCACTATTGGAGTTGTTGTGTATAGTCCATCCATGATAGGATGTTTTGCATATCTAGCCCCTCCTACTTTGCCCATAGTACTGCTCCCCCACCCCCGCCGTCATTGTGACACCCCGAAACACTCCCACATATTTCCTAACACCCTTGGGTACAGTGCCATCTCTTTTGAAAACCACTGAATTAGTGCACTAAGGGAAACCATGAGTAGACTTTCATTAATTTTTCTTTTGAAAGCTGATTATTTGGGGAGGATTCCAGTTTTCTTTGAATTCACAGATGTCTTAGTTTAAAAGCAACATTTTTGTAAGGATGTATTATCTTAAAAAGTCAGACTTAATTTGATAAAGATTGATCTGAAAATATCAGTAACTAAAATTAACTCTTATTCTGGGGGTAGATTGCTTAATGCGCACAGGATTTTATTTTGGAATAACAGAAATGTTTTAGAGCAAAGTATAAGTGGTAATTGTGCAACATTGTGAATGTACTAAATGCCACTGAATTGTTCACTTTAAAATGACTATTTTAAATGTTATGTGAAATTCAACTCAGGTTTTTCTAAAAGTTGGGAAAAAATTAACCCTTGTTTATAATCAGTCGCTTCAGTATTAAGTGTGAATTATAGATTGTACGTTCCATGAAGGAAGTGATTTGTATGTCCTGTTCACTAAAATACTCCCAGGTCCATGGTGCTAGTACATGGTAAGCACTCAGTAATGTTTTGTTGAATGAAAGAATTAATGACTTAGGAAAGATTAGAATTTTTTTTTTTTTTCAACGTTTATTTATTTTTGGGACAGAGAGAGACAGAGCATGAACGGGGGAGGGGCAGAGAAAGAGGAAGACACAGAATCGGAAACAGGTTCCAGGCTCTGAGCCATCAGCCCAGAGCCTGACGCGGGGCTCGAACTCACGGAGCGCGAGATCGTGACCTGGCTGAAGTCGGACGCTTAACCGACTGCGCCACCCAGGCGCCCCAAGATTAGAATTTTTTAAATGATTTTTCACCATCCTTTTATACCTTGTTATTTGATTGTTATTATAGTGATCAGTTTAGATTAAATTTTAACTGAGACATTTTTCAACAAATATTTGGAATCTTCAGGCTGAAACACCTGTTATGTGTCAGGTACTATATCTTTTAAAACATAATATTCACACCAATTCTGTGAGGTAAAAATGATCTATTCTTTATATAACATGAAATGGCTTAAAAATTTTGTCCAAGATTATACTGGAGATGTGAGCTTATAGGCACCCAGAGCCATTGTGTACCTTGTCTTCTCCCATAGAGAGTGAGGTTGGAATTTTCAGGCCTTGGCAACATAGGATACTTAAGTCTTGAGTTGCTTTAAGCAGTGCTGACTAAACCTTACTTATTTGACCCACCTAGTTGGGGAAGTAGTTAAAAAAGAAATTTGAGCCCTTAATAGCATTTGTTGGTGTGATCCCCACTCTGAGGCAGCTCAGGCCTAGCTGTCCCTCGGTTTCTGCAAAGACTTTGTTTATTAGTTTATCCAGTGTGCTGTCTGCAGTTCATACACTCTGTGAGAAATTCCAAAATACCGACTTCATGCTGCTAATTATGCGTATCTCTACTTGGTTTTTCCCCTTTGTCACAATGAGTCAAATGTGATGAGTAAATGGAAATTGTTTGCGGTGCACGGCTAGACATCACAGTGGTGGCTAGATAACACTCAGGCTTGGTCAGTCTGAAACTTCGGCATTAGGACACCTGACTTGACTTGGCAGCTAATTTTCCGTGTAGGTGAGGTTTGCCCCTTCACTTGCCAGAGCTGTATATTTTAACCATTTTTTCATGTGGTAGTCTTCTATATCCAGGTCTCATGGCTATTTTTATTAAGTGGAAACTATAGAAGGAAATTATTCTTCCCTGGGTAACTCCAAAAGGGTGTTTTGGGGTTTTTTTGATATTTTGTTTTGTTTTGTTTTTTGTTTTTTTACTATTTCCCCCACACTGCTGGGTCTGGTTCCATCACTGCCATGAGTTTTTACCAGGTGTTTGTCACCCATCTCCTCTCTTCTTGAGACACTCTTCCTTCCAGTTTACTGCCTCCTGTAACAGGGAAAACAACCGGATGATGTGACTTGTTTCCAATTACAAGGAACAGGAGTTTACATCTCCCTTGCATACCCTGGCCTCTTGGCCCTAATATCTGCTCATTCTGCATTTGGAGCTGGGAGCCCCAGAGCTTGACCTTTTCAGAAGTAAAGGAGGAGTTAATGGTATATAAACCCTTTGAGTCAAAACAGACAGTTGATCTGGGTCTACATGTCAGCAAGCACCTGTGGCTTGACCGCAGGGATGTGAGGAGACTCAGTGGTTTCTGCCTAGGGCTGTAGGAGTTGAAGTGGGAAGTGGTAGGGATCTTCCATATTATTTTGAAGACACTAATTTGACTCCACTTAATTTTCTTCCGTAGTTCTGTTTTCTGGCTGAATTTATCTGTTTCCACCAGAATTTCGAACTGGTGTTTTTATTCCTAAAACTACTCCGGAGATTTTTCAGGGTATCCAAAGTGATTTGATCTTATCACTGAGGATAACACTTTGGGAATTACTATAGAGCTCATGTTTCTGGAAATTCCATTTCTTCTTCTCTAAGCTTGGGCCCACTACAGAGCCACAACATTACATCTACTCGTATATCCCTTCATTCATTTCCTCAGTGACGCAGTGGAACAGAACTGGGGTCCACCTGCTTTCTACTATTGTCATCTAAAGAAGCCTTTGGGGTGCCTGGATGGCTCAGTTAAGCATCCAACTTCAGCTCAGGTCATGATCTCCTATTCTGTGAGTTTGAGCCCTGCATCGGGCTCTGTCCTGACAGCTCAGAGCCTGGAGCCTGCTTTGGATTCTGGGTCTCCCTCTCTCTGTGCCCCTCCCCTCCCCCCAGGCTTTGTCTCAAAAATGAATAAACATTAAAAAAATTTTTAAAAAGCTTTTCAGGAAGGGAAAAAATTAGTACATGTTTGTATCTGATGAATAAGCCAAACTTTACAAGCTTTTTTAATGCATTTCTCTCGAGGATTGTTTTTTTCAGGACTTAACGTACATATCCCTTGGTTTTTCTAAGAACCAGTAGGCTGTGTTGTATTTTGGATTTTCATATTCAGGCTGTGGTTGACATGAACTCTATATCTGTTCTTGCTGTTAAGCAATTAGAATGATTTTTGTCTTTTCTTTTTTTTGTCATGCATAATTATTTTTGGGCTTTGAATTTTTTTTAATATTTAAAAAAAATTTTAATTTACATCCAAGTTAGTTAGCATATAGTGCAATAATGATTTCAGGAGTGGAATCCAGTGATTTATCCCCTACATATAATACCCAATGCTCATCTCAACAATGCCTCTTGCCCATTTAGCCCATCCCCCTACCCCAAATCTCTCCAGCAGCCTTCAGTTTGTTCTCTGTATTTAAGAGTCTCTTATGTTTTGTCCCCCTCAAGTGATTTTTAAAGATTTTTTTTAAAAGATCACATCTATAAAAATTGTCTCCAGCCTTTCTCCAGTAACAGATGTCCTGTTGCTACATTCTTGCCATATTTTGAATGCTTTTAGATAAACTATACTGAATTATTTCATCAAGAATGGGTTTGTTTACTTGTTTACGTTTTCTTGGGTAAAGCTGATGTCATTGTAGTCTCTTATTTATGGTTCACTGAGAAGAGAGTGGGTGTTAGCCTCTAAAAGGAGTTTCTGAGCTGCTCTTCTGGGTGTTAGAAGTTTATTGTGTGTCTAGCCTATTCCTGCTTTTGTGAGAATACAGATTTAGTTGGAGACAGTACCACTGTGGGGTGGTAGGAAGGCACTGGCCCAGGAGTAAGGAAGCCTGAGTAGTCCCAGCACAATCACCCTGTGGCAGTGCAGCCTGGGGAAGTTGCTCTGTCTTTCAGGGGTTTCATTCTTTTTTCTAACAGGAATCTAACTCTGTTCTATCTCCTAATTCTGTCATTCCAGTGTACAGTACAGGAAAGCAAGACAGGAAAGAAGAGGGATGATTGAGGACCTATCTCTAGAGATGGCCTCCCAGAAGAGGGTCTGGAATTGAGGACCCCAAGGGCGTTGGAGGAAAGGAATGGGCAAAGGTCTAAGAGTTGGTCTACAAAGAAAGCAGCAAAAAAACAAAAAACAAAAACAAAAAAAACCTCACTGCCCAGGAAGAGGGAGATAGCAAGCCTACCCAGCCAGAAACGAGTGTGGTGATGCATGATGGTTTCTAGATCACTTCTGACTGATCAGATATAGAGGGGATCTTGAAGCCATGCTCTGGGTTTTTCTGGAGGGATAGTGCCATTGAAAACCCTGAGCAGGATCAAAGACCTCGTGGCTGCATTTCAGGGTCTAAATGGAGCTTGAGGAGGGATTGGAATTAGGAGTCTGGAGTTGACTTGGAACACATTGTACCTGAGGTGGCAGGACTTCTAAGTGAAGGAATTAATCCACCAAGTGGTTTTGACGTGGAAACACTTGACATGAAGAGAAGCCAGGACTGAAGATGCTGGATTTCCTGTCACTGGAATATAAGTGTCCGTTAAGATTAGTGAACATAGGTTATGCTCATTTCATAAACTGCAGCTTCACAGGGGTTTTGATTTTTTTCCTAATATTCATGGCTAGACAAATGGATTACCACCTACAAAATTTCAGACTTTAAAATACATTTAAAAAAATGTCCACTTTTACTTAGGTACTGCAGGCCACAACTAAATATTTTTTCTGGTTTCTTTTGAAATTTGTTACCACATTTTTGGGTGGGGTCACTTTTTAATCCACTATAATGTGGGGTTGTGCCCTGTGGGCCAAATCTGGCCACCACCTGTTTTTTGCAAATAGGGAACACAGCCACCCTCATTCATTTGCAGTTGGCGGAGTTGAGTAGTTCAGCAGAGACCATATGGCCTACAAAGCTTATCTGGCCCTTTACAGAAAATTGTATACTGACTCATATTCTGTACAGTTCCTTGTTCGTTTGCATCTACTCCCAGTACTTTCTGCTTCCTTCAGCAAAATCATCTGCCATGGCCCCTAGTTAGTGTCACTGGAATCCTGCCCTCATCTTATTTCCTAGAAGCTGCAAACTGAGTAGGTTCCACGGTTCCCTAGAAAGGGTATGGAGCCCCAGAGCCAGGGTTACCCACAGCCTTTGGAAGTTGTAAGGACCATGTCCTGGAAGAGTCATCACGTCTACTGCTTTAGCAACAAATTTCTTAATAAAATTCGTAGAATATTCTTAGAGGCCATTGACCAGGCAGGGCTCTCTAGAATGGGCTCTTTATCTAAAAATAATAATAAAATAAAGTAAAAAATAGAAAGTGCAATAAACAAGTATTACCATGAAACTCAAGCTGCCTTCTATCTCAATATCACATTCAATTAAATGAACCAAACAAAATACAAGAAAAATCATAAAGCTATTAAGAATCACATTTCATGCAATAGGTTCTTTCTTGGCTTTGCAAGGTCACAGACTATGGAACTTAATGCCAAAAAATGTAAAAGGGAATGTAAAATGTAAAGGGAATTTCATTGCCATTGTTTTTGTTATGTATAGAGTTTACCTTTTCACATTTTCATGGTGAAATTTCACATACGTTAAGCTGAAATAAATTTTGTTTTCTTATAGCCACGGTCTGAAAAAGTTCTTTTCTTGTCGTGGAATTGCAATTGCGGTTGAATATTTTTGGAAGCTTGGCAACAGAAACATCACTGTATTTGTCCCACAGTGGAGAACAAGACGTGATCCTAATGTCACAGGTGAGGCAAACTGATCCTTCCAGATTTCTCCTTTTCTAGATGTTTAATGAGTTTGCTTACAGTGGCAACTCATACTCCTTAGAGCAGAGCCACATGCTACAGTGGCAGCAGCTTGAAAAACAAAATTGTAAATCTTTTGGACCCTGTGAAACATCAGTTGAAGAGAGTGTTACAGCATAAGAAGTGCTTAGGGGAAGGATGGAAAGTTTTAACATAGTTGTTTACGTGGAAAGTTATATTAGAGTTCCTTATACATCACAAAAATTTTCCTGACTTTCTAAAAAGTAGTTTAAATATGTCTTTCCATTAGTCTGGACTTTTGCCTCATTAAATAGTCTTTTCTAAAATGGTCACTTGATAAATTTGGAAACCCTCAAAGACAATGTTTTCTGAACAGTCTGTTTTTAATAGTTTAATATAAATTATGTCTGTTAATTGTGTGATACTGCATGGCTGACTGCAGGCCACACACGGGATGTTTAAACTTAACCGTGAATCATGCAGTATTCTAGAGAAACCTATTCTTATAGTTCATGATAGGGGAGTGGTGGCACGGTGTCAGGCAGCTTAGCCCACTGGTGTGCCTAGACACAAGAGGTGGATGGGAGAAGGGAGGGGGAACAAAGCTCACCCAGCATTTAAACAGGAAGTGAAACTTAGTCACTGTTGAGATGGAAATGGTAAGACCACACATTTCTCAAGTATCCCAACTTCCCTCATTCGGAGAGCGTATTTGTCTTAACAGAGAGTGCTTGAGGAATGAGGCAGAGCCACTAATTTTTGCAATAGGATCCTTGAAAGGGTCTTGCAAGCCTTCCTGTGCTGTGCATTTCTAGGAAAATAAAACACGGTGTGTGCATGTTGCAGTTTAAGCCAGTGGTGAGTAATCATCGTAGGGGATGCGGGTGTGGGAATCTTAGACCCTGAGCTTTTAGCTGCTCTTTGCCCATTGACTGATTTTCTGTAATTTGGCTTTGACCCTCTTTTCTTCTATGTCACGACCCACTCCCATGAAATATCAGTAAATGTGCAGATAACTGAGAGAGGTTGGATAAGATGCCAGCTAGAAAGATATTTTGATAGCCTCTTGGAAGGGGGACCACATAGGCCTACGTTGGGATAGGGCAGAGCCCTGTGTCCCTGCCTCTGCCTCCAGCAATGTTCCTTGCTCTACCCCACCCTCTCTCTGGGACTTACGTCATCAGTCCCTGTCCTACTGCTTGTGATATGGCTGTGAAAAAGTTCTTGATGGTAGGATTATGGTTTACTCAATTCTAGGAGCAAATGAGTTGAACTTTTTTATATTTAAAAAATAGCTAAGGTCAGTTTTTATGTTGTATTTGCCTTAGTATGTGTGTTGCTTAATTTTTTTTTTCTTCCCAATGAGTTAGTATAATTGAGTCTTGTTGAGTCAGCAGAAAAAAGGTTTTCCATAATTCTCCAAGTGAAACATTTGAGGGTGCTTTCATTTATTTAAACATATGGGAAGATAGCCTTTTTCTGAATGTGTATTCAACTTATTCCATGAACAGAACAGCACTTCTTAACCCAGCTCCAGGAGCTTGGAATATTATCTTTAACTCCTGCCCGGATGGTCTTTGGAGAAAGAATTGCTTCTCATGATGACAGGTACGAAAGGCTGTTTTCCTTACTGAGGTGGGTGTGGGATGGTGAGGAGCCCACCACCTGCTCCACTGAACCAACCATTCATGGTGCCCCTGGATCCACATACCTAGAGGACTCACTAGATTAAGGGGTTTGAAGATTTTAGTATTTATGGTCATTAAGGTTATATACTCAGTGGGGTTTTTTTGGTTTTGTTTTTTTTTGTTTGTTTTTTCTGCTATACGGGTTTAAGAGCATTACATAAAATCTGTTCGGTTAGAATGTTTTTTGTTTGTATGTTTCTTAAATAAAACACGACCGAGAATCATAAGAGCGAGCAGACATTGAGTTCTCTTTTTTGGTGCATACTGAAAGTAATGTTTGTCTTGTCTTATGTGGTGACCCCAAGGATGCTTTTCAAACATTATCCATCTCCTCCTGGTTAATTTTGGCCAGTGACTTACTTTGTCATTATGCCTGAGCCCTCAGCATTTCTTCCACATAATGAAAGATGGTCTCAGCTGACCCTAAGTGTGACAGGAGTATGTTGCATTTCTTCGGTTGGCGTGTCACTCAGAAAGCAGGTGTTAATGCATTGAAGACAACAGGCTTTAATCTGCACCTTTTACATTTTTTTCTAAAAGCTTTACTGAGCACCAACCAAGTGCAATGCACAGAGCGGGGCTTTGGGAACACACGTGATTCAGACACATTTCCTGCTGTAAGGAGTTTGTGATCTAAAGAGAAGGCACACAAATAAGTAATAGAGGGGAGTTTTGTTGTGGTTGAATAAGAGAAGGTCCTAAATATGACCAGTGGCATTAAAAACAGTTTTTCAAACTGTCCTCTTGTGAAGTCAGTACTATTAACCCTACCAGTATCTGGAAACCTAAGTAGTGGCCGCTTGTTCTTTCCCCACCTGCATACACCCCCTTTATTTTCTTCTGGCCTGAAGCACTTAGAATGCCCTGGTGGTTTTGCCTCAGAATTCTACCAGAATAGCTCCCCACATTGAAGACAGTGTTTGGCTTGTAACGCCAACTAGTGAATGACAGTCAGATGGGTGAGAGATGAAAAGAGGGGCTCGGCAGGGGGGAAGGGGACTTGAGAAGACAGCAGGTGTTCATTCAGGAAAAGGTCTAGAGGGCCTTCTCATTGACAACCCCTTGCCCTTCTCCAGGCTGGGATGAGAGACCAGATCAGATGGGGAGAATCAGAGGTGATGTGAAGGAACAGCGTGAGAGGAAGCAAAAGGAGAATAGCTTATTGAGGCAGGGTAGGGGTGAGGAAGTGCTGGGAGACCATGTTCTGCTCCGGCTCCGTTATACTGGGCTCAGACCCTGTAGTGCTCGGGTGGAGGGGCACGTAGGCTGCTGGGCTCCTGAAGAACCTTCACCTCTCTCACACTCTGCAGCTGCAAGCTTGCAGAATTTGAAGGCATATGCAAGTATGCAGACTCGATAAGCCTTTGCTTAATTTGTATGATTGTGGGTTTTTAGTGGACATGAGTCTATATATAGCATATATTTAGTACATGCACTCCGAAGCCTTACTCTTGATATTAATATCTCTGGGCAGACATCACCATTTACCATTCATGCCCACTAGGAATAACTGATAAGATATTCATTAATAAATTCAAGATTTTAAGTCCTACTTTCCAAGATGTCCTAAGCCTCTGAAACTAACAAGACTTGTTTTTTCATTCCTTTTAAGTATTCACTATCATTAATAAAAGCATTTGTTTGCACCTTCAATTCTAGTGATTCTCTTAATTTATTGTTGCATTGTCTTTGCATTGCCTTAAACAAATGTGATCACCGTGACTAAGGGATAAAACTCATCATTAGTGTCCTCACAAATCTCTCATTAAGAGATTTGACCACGAATAATCTCCAGCAGTGAAATAGAATTCTCAATACTGATTTCTTACCCTTTGTTATCACAATTTCAACTTATAAATGGCATCTGAGTGAATCTATAACTTGAACTAAACTGAATGGTGCTTCTAGACATCTAAAGTCCAAGCAGCAAGTGTGAACCTATGGATTTATTTTTTAAAAATGCAAGGCTGACTGTACCAAGCAGCTAATCTTAGAACCAGAGCACTCTAGCCTAGCAACTAAAACTTAAATTGTGATTTAGTGATTTCACAGGCTTGTCAACTCAAATTCATTCTCGACTCTAGTCCTCATGCATCATCTGATAACCACTGTCTTCTGATAATACAACTTTTCCGGAAAAATGTGTAAATTGTGGTCTTTTTTTTTTTTTTTTTTTTTTTTTTTTAAGATTTTAAGTAATCTCCACACACCGAGATCAAGAGTTGCATGCCTTGGGGCACCTGAATGGCTCAGTTGGTTAAGTGTCCAACTCTTGATTTTGGCGCAGGTCATGATCTCACAGTTCATGGGATCGAGCCCCACATCAGTCTCTGCACAGACAGCACAGAGCCTGCTTGGGATTCTCTCTCTCTCTCTCTCTCTCTCTCTCTCTCTCTCTCTCTCTCTTTCTCTTTCTTTCTCCCTCTCCCTCCCTCCCTCCCTCCCTCCTTCCCCGCTTGCACTCACTCTCTCTCAAAATAAATAAACTTAAAAAAAACAAAACAAAAAAGAGTTGCATGCTCTTCTGACTGAGCCAGCCAGGCATCCCTGGTTGAGAACATTTTTAAAACGCGATAATAATGTATGAAAATCAAACCTTCGTTTATAATCACACTAATAATTTCAGAGGTATTTGATATTTCAGACTGATCTTCAGCTGACAAGGGCTTAACTTTTCTACTTCCTAGCCATAGTTAAATTCTTTGGTGATTTTCATATGAAGAGGAAATCCTTTTGTTTTCTTATAGCGTAGCTTCTATAAGCCAGGAATGCCTGCTTGCCCATTTTAACCTCTTATATTACTATAGGTTTCTACTACACTTAGCGGACAAAACTGGTGGCATAATTGTAACAAATGATAACTTCAGAGAATTTGTGACTGAGTCAGTCTCTTGGAGAGAAATTATTACAAAAAGGTAATAATATTTTCTTTGTCTTTGGTTAAGTGTTTTTTGTTGTTTATTGTTTGGTTTGGTTTTGTGTACACCTTGGCCCTGCAGAAGGCAGTATAGGAAACCAAAGTATCATAAGACTGTGCTCCCTGTCCAAGACCATGGCTGGCCCCTCTAGGTAAGTGGGGCTCCCAGTACGAAGCAGCAAAACCAGTGGATGACATAATGGGCATGCTGTGGTGGCTGCAGAGTGTCTTTGAGAGATCAGTGTTCCCTGGCAGAAGGCAAGAGGCACATGATTATGGCACAGTTAACTCTTGTTAACAGTGTAATCGAGCAGAAATGGCCTCCTAACTTGGCCTTGCCCTGATGCCAAGGGAGACTTTGGCAACTCAGTGGGTGTCCCTACTTGATTCAACCATGAAATACGAAGGTTGGATTTAATGACAGCTGTGATTCCAGTAAGAGGATGAGACCAAAATCCACATACTGATGAGTTTTCACTTCTTAGGAGTGGGAAGAGTATTTCTGCTTTTCAATATCTGGTGCTTTCCTTGAGCATTTACCATCATAGTTTAATCGTCTATATTGCAAACATGTGTGAATATCATCCAAAATAACAGAGTCAAGAGTTGAGCATTCACTGATACAAGTTTTTTAGTTGTGATGATGTTCTGAATGTGTCCACCTGCCTTAAGATCAGTGAACACTGGCTTCCAGGACTTCTTGTTAACAAGCATCATCTGACTGAGTTCTGTAAAAGGCAGTAGTCTGTGATGGTGCCAGGGATGAGTCCTATATGCCACAAATCTAAAAGCATAAATCAACATACCTCAGGCTGTGTTATAACTAGTACATAACAGGTACAATTAGATACTTATTTCTGTTGGGGTTTCATAGTTGCCCCTTGTCTGATATTTGTTATTTTGCTAACTTGTTAGAGGATTTTAGAAAATAATCCTTTGCTGTAAATACCCAGGTGTGAGTTAATTACTGTATGTATTTTGACCCACATGGTGTTGGAAAGCTGTTGTTGAGAGCTGAACTGAGAATTGGTCTTTGACCTTCTAGGCACAGTTAACAAGCCATTAATCTTCTAGGACATGTTTCTGTTGGACCTTTGCCCTAGACTCATTGTCAGTATTTATTGGACACTCCTCTGTGTGTAGAAGGTCTAAATGCAGTCAGGACTCAATGTTTGTACACCAGCCCATTGCTTTCAAAACTCACAAAACAAGGCAGAAACCGAGGTCTGGACAGCAAACACAAGCACTTGGCCTTTTTTCTTTATCACATCTTCCCCAGACTTGATAAATCATGATGAGATCTCAGATTTTCTTTGTTCAGATATCCTATTGTTTTGGGGTTTTTTTCTTTTCTTTTCTTTTCTTTCTCTTTTTTTTTTTTTTTTTTTTTTTTTTTTTTTTTTAGTTTTTTTATTTTGAGAGAAAGTGAGTGAGTGGGGGGAGGGGCAGAAAAAGAGGGAGAGAGAGAATCCCAAGCAGGCCCTGAGCTGTCAGTGCAGAGCCCAATGCAGGGCTCAATCCCACGAACTGCGAGATTGTGATCTGAGCTGAAATCAAGAGTCAGATGCTTTAACCAACTGAGCCACCCAGGCGCCCTGTACTGTTTTGTTCTTTTAAGAAGTTGTCTTCAGTGGTTTGCCTATAGACACAACTATTCAAAAGTAAAACGTTTTTTGAGCACCTAAGCAGTGTGTCCTAAGCAGTCAGTCTTAAATCTTGTTTTCAAAGTTAGGAGAAGAAGCTGCCTCCAAAGCCCAGATAAAAATCTGAAAGTCTCGATAAGAATTGTGAGGGCCAATGATAAAAGTTTATTACTTTACTGTATTTGTATCCAAAAGAGAAATTCAGATGGCTTAACTTGGATGTGTTAGTTTTTTCCATTAGGCATGTAAGCAGCCTTACAATTTTATAGGTGACTCTTGCTTTGGAATTAGGTGGACACTTCTACTTTCTTCTCAGCTCCTGCAACAATAAAAGCTTCATGTTTTCTCCAGCATTGTAATCATTCTCTGTGTTATAGATTGCTTCAGTATACCTTCGTCGGGGATATATTTATGGTTCCTGATGACCCTCTGGGAAGAAGCGGACCTCGATTAGAGGACTTTCTTAGGAAAGAAGTCTTCCTTAGGTATTTGCTTTTTCACATTGTTTTCTGTTTACAAACTTGTTTCAGTTCTTTGTCTTTTGTGTAAGTGATGTCTCTGAATAACTAAAGACAACACTTTTAAATTTTGTATTAGCCTTAGATTTATTGCTGGTATATTTGAAAGGTAATCAAGCACACACCCCAAAGACCATGTCTTCATTTATGGTCCTTTGGTTTTAATCCTAGGAGAGGGTGGGGAGCCAAGCTTTGTATAGGTCTAAAAAGACAAAGCAGATTTTGCTGACTGCCACTTATGAGCAAACGCCACTTAGGTTCATTATGTATACGTGAATATCCTCTTATATTCACTTTCCAAGGTTATTTGCTTTAAATTTGTGATGTTCCTGTTAATTTATTTACTATTCAGGAATCACTACCCGGGGAACTTTCTGTCTCCACTAAATGGAGAAGCCAGTATTTCATATTGATCTGAAATTGATTTGATAGTTGACATTTTCTTTGTTTTAGTTGGGTTTTTAAAGATAAGTTGCTGGTAGTTATATCTGTTTTCAGAATTCTTGGGTAATGGACACTGTTAACTAAAGTATCGTATGTGCCTAACTGACAGATGGTATAACCTGGTGACAGACAGCTGATCTTTTTTATTTATAACCAGATCCCTTGGGGATTCTAGATTTGGATTTGGGGTAGTTCACACAGAGGTATCTTCCACAGAGGAGACGAGTGCAGTTTCAGCTCCCTGGGTCTTAGGAATCATTTCTCTTCTGAGCCTTTGGGTTTTATTACATAGAATGAGGGCTTAGTTCCCAAAGGTTCTGCTTCTCTGCCTACGCTCAGAGAATGGCAGCCATTTTAACATCTGCTGGGTGTCAGTGCATCTCCACTGGGCATTTAAGATCTGGCACCTGTGTGCAAGCATCAAGGCCTGCGGGTCAGGCTTAATGGGAAAGAGAGTTCTCTGGCTCCTTCTTCACCTCAGCAGCCTGGCAGCAGGGTCTGCCCTGCCCGTGCACTTAATCACTCTTTACAATGTGTTAACAAATTGAGCGAGGAGTTAATAATAACTCCACTCACCAAGGAACTAACTTTTGAAGTTAGTTGAGCTTTTGAAATTGGAAAAAGTGTTCGGCCAGCCCCATTTCTCAGCTGCAAGCCCAAGTCACCTGGGAAACTTCTTTAAAAAGACAGATGCCCTTTACACACACTCACACATACCCATGAGTGTATAGGTTGTGGGCACCAACACCTCGCCCAGACTGGTGAGGGCGGAGAGGGGGGGCAACAGGTATCCGTAGTGGCTGCCTGTGCCCAAAGGAGTCCCTTTTTCTAATCCCTATCAACCAGGGCCCCACACAGAATTAGTCTCCAGAAGAGTAAGACCCTGTTGTCTGTGTCTTTTGAAAGCTCTCAGGTGATTCTGGCACATCCTGGCTTAGAGCCAACAGTTGGCTGGGGTCCATTCTTGCAGCTGCAAACCTAGGAGGGTGGTGTAGCTCATGATGAGCTGTCATTTCCCATCATGACTGGTCTGGAGATGGTGTAGTTGTCATCCCTGTGGACCCCTCTGTGGGCAGCTTGCCTTCAGAAGTCATGGAGCAGCACGGCCCCAAGGTCAGCAGCAGGTCTCTCATTTATCTTACAGCCTGACTCACCAGACTCATTCCATTCACAGAGATATGCAGCCCCTGCTCAATGCCTTGCCAAATGTGGGCATATTTGACGCCAGCTTCAGAGTCCCTGGGGCCCAGGCAGCCAGCACCAGCCACCAGCCTCCAGCCCGGATTCAGGGTGCCCCACCTAGCCACTGGCTCCCTCAGCAGCCCCGCTTCCCAGTTCTGTCGAACCTTCCCAGTATGCAGCAGAACGTGCCCATGCCAGCACAGAGGTCTCCTGCAGAAACCAGCGAGCTGAGGGAAGCACTTCTGAAGATCTTCCCTGACTCCGAGCAGAGACTGAAAATCGACCAGATATTGGTGGCCCACCCATACATGAAAGACCTGAACGCACTGTCTGCCATGGTGTTGGACTGAAGGCCACACTTGAGCTAGTGTCTGCACGTGGCAGCAGGAAGCGACATAATGTGAAGAGACCGATTTCCCAGTGGAAATGCTATTGTAGTATATAGAAAAGAAAACAGATGTTTTGTGTATAAAAAAATCTGGGTTTTCAAAACCAGCTTTTTCTATATATAAATTATGCTGCTATTACAGATTTAACATTTTCTGTAAAAGGAAAGTACATTTTCTGCCTGTTCAGAACTGTTTAATAGCAGTTACTCGAGTGTATTTACATTTTTATGTTTTTTAAACTATTTTCCTTAAAGCTGAAAATATTGACAAATGGATATGAGTAGCCTTTCTAAATAAAAAAAAAAAAAAAAAAAAAAAAAAAAAAAAGAGTTGCTTTCTTAGGGAAAGCAAGACCTCTTAAAGTATATTTTCTTGAGATGACTATGTAACGTCCACTAACATGAAGTGTGTTCATCCCTCCCGGTCTCCTCTGCCCTCACCCCTGGAATTAGAGTCGTAGGAGTTGGGTTTGCTCCTGTGGGTCTTTTGTTGGAGCCATTTGTGAGATTGGGCAGGTGGTGCCACTAGATGGCACCTGTGCCTAGCCATTGTTAATGACCAGGGCACAGTTAGACTCCCAGAATGTCAGGGCAAGAAGAAACTTCAGAACTCATGTAATCCCACCCTACTTCCCCTCCCACCCTGAAGAAGAGGGAACTGAGGCTCAGTGTGCTCATGTCTGCACATGCCCAGGTCCACAGCCGTAGAGCAGCTGGGCAGGGACCAGACTCCTTGTCCAGTGCTCTGACATGCTCACCAGGCTGAGGCCTCGCTATACCTGACCTGACTCTAGAAGTCATGTCTTAGCCTCTGAAAATAATAGTGGGATGTGAAGAAATTTAACAAAGAGCCCCATCGTTACAGTAATTTTGTGTCCACATCATGGGAGATACAACCCATGTGAAGTTTATACAGCTTTGCCAAAAGTGGTTTTCTATTCTCAAGAATGACCCTAAGCCAATAAATAGCATCAGTAGCTGCCATGAGGGCTCAGAGCCCCTTATTTATTTTTCCGGTGTTTGTCTTTTTAGTGTTCTTCTAAGCTGCCCTTCCTGTGAGTGAGTCTATCTCAGAATTGGTATCTTAGTATTGTGTTTTCAGTGTTGTTCAAATTCTGTGTCAGTGAAGTTCTTTTCCTGGATAATTATTCTTAACATCTTTACTGTCCTCTGGACTTTCAAAGGGCTTTGTATTTTATACCTGTTCTCTTCCCAGGCTGCTCACGGTCAGTTTTTTATCTGCCCTGTGGGTCACGTCTCTCCCAGCCCCCAGAAACAGCTGCTGAGGACTCAGTGCTGGTTTGTTTTTCATAGTGAAGGGACTTTTTTGGCCATGAGCAGAGCTGGTGACTCCCCAGGAGGCTCCCTCCCTGGTTTGACTTCTGTATCCCTCCAGGGATGAATCCAGAGTCCTCCAGGTGGCTGGACTTACACTTCAATCATGTTTTCTCCCCGATGCCTTTAAGATGCTTCCTGACGAGGAACTAGTTGTCCACTGCCTTTTGGGGGCAGGTTGCCAGAGTCACCCACCCAGTTGTGGATGGAGACTTGAGGTGGCCAGGAAGTGACTCAGTCACAGCCCTTGTGCCTCATCTTCAGAACTGGTGGTTTGTAAAAGTGTGGCAGACGTGTGAGGGCTAGGGCTGTCTCGTAGTTACTCTGACCTTCTGGGTTGAGGTTTGGTCTGACAGTGTTGCCAATCCAGTATTTCTCTAATGTTGAGAAAAGGACCCGGGGGTAAGCCTTGATGGCTGAGACTTAGCCACACAGGTCTTCCTGAAAGGGGACTAAGCCTCCACTGATGCCGGGTGGGGCTGGCTAGGCCTGGGGTTCCAGAGTTTCCTAGGCTCTAGACGTGACTTGACCTTTGAGCTTTATATCATGTAAGCCTCTGTATTCTTAGTATTGTTTCTGAGGGCTCTACCTGCCCCTTTCCTCTTTCTGGGCGTGGGAAGGAAGGATGCAGGAGACTAAGTGGGTTAATTACTTCCTTTGATAAATTACAACATCAAACATAAGTCACAGTTCTTTCTGAAAATCATCAGCTTTAGTTAAATTTAGTATTTAAAAACTCAATTTTCAGACCGTTAAAAAAAGTCCTTCAGCCTTCTCTTAATATTAAGCTCAGTGTTGATGCTACTCAAATGTTTCTCGATGGTCTGCCCCCAGCAGTGGATTTTTGAGCCACCTTGGCAGTGTCAGCAATGCATCATCATTTTGTAACTCCTCAGGGGGTTACAGAGTGTGGTGCGTCTGCGTCCTGTATTTCCCAGCATTCCCGTGAAGGAGGTGGCCTAGCAAGGATGCACCTTATTTGGTACACCGGCATCTGGTCCTCAGAGAGGTTGTCCGGGGTCAGAGAATAAGTAGATGGTGATGCGGGATGATTCCCAGGCCTGCATTCTTCCCAGGCCCCGGCTCCCCGCTCTGGGAGAAGAAAGCCTTGTTTGACCTTTCTGTCAAGTACCCTGTGTTTGAGACCCAGTAGGCTGCTGGCTAGAAAACAGTGGGAAGGCGTCTCAGCCATCCCGGATGACAGGTCAGCTTTGTCTGGCAGACTCAGCTATGGTGTGGAGGTGTTGCTGGGGACTCAGGCCTGTTGCAGCTTTTGGTCTCTGAGAGGAGGGACGGGGTCTTGCTTAGGTTTGTCATGGCACATGTGGAGTATGAGTCACAGAGAAAGCTGTGCTCTCTGTGATTGCTCCTAGCACCCTCCCCCACCACAGGAGATGCCCCAGGCACAGGGCCCCGTGAATTTGGGCCTTGGCACCATTCTCCCTCAGCTTCCAGCTGTCCACCAGCACTCCCAGGTCCTCCCCTGTCCTTCCTTCCCATGTCCCTTTCCTCTCCTCACTGTGGTCTGTTTGGTCAGTCACTGACTCCTGCCATTTGTTTCTTCATTATCTACCTCCCCATCATTCTCCATTATTACAGCTTGGCTCCTGTAGTAAAATCACCCGATTTCCCCTAAGAATCCTCTCCATGCATTGCTGCTCTCCCTCACCTTCCCACTCTTCACTTCCTTATTTGCAAACTTGACCTTCATCCCACCCACTGCCTGAAATAGTCTAGGAGAAGTCATCAGGGACCAGTAATTGCCGAATTAGAGTCCTTTTCTCAGTACTTAATCTTCGTGTCCACCCTCAGTGACCAGAATACTTGACATTGTGGCCCTTACTTTCCTCCTTTTCTGAGATTTCCCTCCCAAATGTTCCTCATTCTTTTCTATTCTTTTACCCAAAGGCCAGTCCTCGAGACCCTTTTCTTTCTTGACAGGTAGTCAAGCTTCAGACCAGCCATGGACTTGTGATGGGGAGGGCGGCTCTTGCTAAAAATGCGGATTACTAGGCACAACCCCCAGGGCTCTTTATTCAGTGGCCCTGGAGTAAAGCCCAGAAATTGGAGACATCAGCAAGCTCCTTGGGCGTTTCCCACACAGGCTGTCCAGGGACCACGTTGTGAGAAACTGTACTCACCCTTAATGGTCATTAACTCCAGCTTCCTTCCTCCCTCCCTAACTTCCCTGCCTCCACATGTCCCCTCTGGGCAGTGACTTCCAGTCCCACCTCTAGGCCTGCCATTCAGAAACGCGTTTCTAGCATGACTGGAAACCCTGTGACATCCTCAGACTCACTCCCCAGACCCTCAGCCTGCTTCTGTTCCTTGCTGTCCTTTCCCACCCCACCCTGCCACAGCGTTCCCTCATCCACCTTGTCCTTGTCCTGCCAGTGCCCACCAGTCATTCTCTCATGCTCTCAGGCAGCCCCTGATCGGTCAGCCCACCCCACCCTCCCAGACCCCAGCATGCTCCCAGATTTATCTTCCAGAAATGCATTGCTGGTCACAAACCATCCTATTCAGTGATCTTCAGTGCCTCTTCGCCAGAGCACCAAGCTCAGCCCTCCCTGAGCGTAGTATCCGTGCTGTCCTTGTGGCCACGTGTGACTGCCCACTTTGAATAGCCCTTCCCCAGATGCTCACTGCAGCCCACATACGTTTCCTCAGTTTCCTATGGGCTCCTGCCTCTGTGTGCACCTCTTTTTCTCTGCTAGAGATGCCCTTTCTCCCAAATGGCTTCCCCCTCAATGACCCAGTCTCCTGCCTTCTCTTTGTGCCCTTGCCTGTGCTTCTGGCCAGAAACAACCCTGTGGCACTCTGTGACCCACGGCGCTTGTGTCTCGCTTTTGGCACCTGCCGCACTGGCCGGTATCATTGCAGCTGATTGTGTACTGTGTCTCACCTCCCTTTCTAGACTGTGAGCTCCTCGCGGGCAGGGACCGTCTATGTTCACTCTTTGTATTTCCCATGGCACCTAGCACAGTGCCTTGCACTTAATAGGTGCTCAATAAACGTCTGCTCAACTGAACTGGACGACATTGCCTTCTTGACTGTGGTGTCCGGCAGCCGATAAAACCTTAAGAAGTCACATTGTCCACGTTTGCACCCGGGAACCCACCACTATGCTGCGGTCTACTGCAGATGGGGTGTCTGCCTGGCTTTCCCCTTCTCTTCAAGGCCCCAACACACCATGCAGTCCAGGGCTGAGCTGTGGACAAGCCGAGCCAAGCAGTGTGCTCTGACTTCCTGCCCGCAGCCTGGCCAGGGGCAGACACCTGGCCCAAGCGAGTCCAGTTAAAGCCACTCCTTGGTCTTCTCCCCTCTGCTGGTGGATCCAAGGAATTTCACGCCCAGGTCTGTTAGAGGCCACTTCCTGCCATGGGGGAATCTGTCTCTCGTAGACCCAAGATTCCTGGGGCGGGAGTGCCAGGTTCCTGTTGTCATAGGAGCCTGGTGGCACCCATGCCCTTCCTCAGATGTCGAGATGCCCCATTATTCTAATGCACCTCCCTTTGCTTAATTTCAAGTTGGATTTATGGCCCTTAAAGTCCAGAGTCTTGAGTAAAATAGTTACCACTGCCCCTACACTCAGCAGATTAAATGGGAGAGGCTTCTCATACCTTTAGAAAGATCCCGAAGACTGGTGCAAAGTGAACTTTGGGAGTGTTCACCCCCATCAGAAAATGGTAAGAGGCTGACAGGTC